AAAACTCGTAAATAGTAGACTATTATAACTAAAAAGATAGATTTCACTAAGCTTTACAGACTGATTTCGGTATTGAATACCACACGCCTTGGACGTTTTCCCATATTTCCTCCTTATTTCGTGGTTTAATGGGTCCCAACGTTTCCTTTACAATCTTCCATAGGTATTCTATAGGTTTTAAATCCGGAGATTGCGCCGCCCAGGTTATAACATCGATTCCTTGATGCTGTAGCCACGTCTTGACCACACTCGAGGTATGCTTCGGATCATTCTTGGGCTGGAACAGCCAAACTAAAAACATTTAGCATAAGGAAGCGCTACATTATCTAAAATTCTAAGGTAGTGATAACGGTCCATGATTTCCCGAATCCAAAGCAGCGGTCTGGCTTCGCACCTCGAAAAACATCCCAATGTATACTTTGAATTATGACCTCGGTGTTTGGAAGTTTTTGTCGTGTATCGGGGAACCCAAACTTTTCCATCGCTGCCTACTATATTTATTTTAGATACATCTGACCAATGGATCTTACGCAACATTTTTTCACTGCTCCAATTGATATGCGCTGAAGCACAAGCAATCTGATTGTTCCGCTATCTTTTTGTCAACATTGGGACTTTCCGAGAAAAGCTTCCGAAGAGATTATTTTCTACAAGGCGACGTGGAACAGTTCTCGAAGAAATTTCTACACCCAATTCTCTTTGGATAGCTACAGAGGACTTGAAAGGATGGCGTTTTGATAAAAAACCTACGTAATTGTCATCCGGATATGTCGTTTTTCATGGCAGTCCCCTTAATTAGCGATCTTTTGAAGGGTTCAAAGCACTAAACACAAATTTTTCGACCTTTTTATAATTATTGCAGTTTCCCTTTAGATATAACCGTCATTTTGCTACATTTTTTTTTAATTTTTCTTCTACAAATAATACTTAATTGTAACAAAATGTCAAATTTTAACAAATACCCTACAGATTATATATAATCCTTACAATATAATTGCTTACTAAATAACGGCTATTATTGATATTTTTATTCTTTGATTCTATTTTTTGTCTCGACAACAAGAGCATACTTTTGTTTAATTTGAACATAAAGATAACAGTAAAATGTAACAGAGTTAAATATTAAAGGAATCGATTACAGGCAAAATGTATCGAAATCTATCGGACAAATAATAAAGATTGTAAATTATGGTGTATGCATTAATTCGTGCGGTTTTTTACGTAAATTAAGACTTTATTGTGAAAAAATTGTTATACATTTAATGTTCAAAGTATTGCCCATCGGAAGCTATGATGTTTGCCCATCTTTCTGGCAGTTTGTGGATCCCATCCCAAAAGAACTGTTCTGAAGAGAAGCGTACTCCGGTGAGGGCATTCTGCATTGATCTGAACAAGTGGTAATCGGAAGGTGCTATGTCTGGGCTATAAGGCGGGTGAGGTAGAACTTCCTTGTTGTTCACTCTCAAACAATTTATATCTACTGAAAACGACGCGAAATGGCAGTACCTTTGAAATGAATATAGCCACAGATGAATACGACGCAAAATAATACTAGTAGAGCCCTCTCTTAGAAAACCGTACGAATTAATGCATACGCCAATATTTCGGAACTAGCTATTTGATTTTATTTTATTGTCAATAACTTTATACAAGTATATAAAGTAGTATACTCAAAGTTGTAAGTTTGTAATTGTATGCAATCTTTTATCGTCTTATTTAAATATTATATGCGTGGTATGTTAATGGTTCAAGATGCTTTATTGAGGGCACTGTATTCACAAAACAATGGATCGTTGAAAATCACTTGTAATTTTGATTGAACAAAATATAAAATAAAACACGACTTAATGTGTTATAAATGCCACTTTGAAGTATGACCGAATTTTAAGATCCCCCGTATTGTTATTAGATTATTAGTAAAAGCTGAATTAAATTATAATAGCAAAGGCATTTACATATATAAGATGAAAAAGTAAATATTATATAGTTATACAAAATGTTCCATTTACTAGATATTTCAGCAAAAAATAAAAAAATAAAATTATTCTTAGTAAAGTGTTGAATACAGATTATTAATTCCATAGAGATCTTTTACACATTTTTATGCAATCTTAGGAACTATTATATAGCACTGCAATTGTATCTAAATCCTTACAGATATAAGTTTAGTTTTTTAATAGAAATAGGAAAGCAAGCGAAGTGTTCCACACAATTTTCAGAGCAATAAAAACAAAAAAAATCCTAATCTCTAAAGCTAAAAGGTCTTGAAGGCAAAAATAGAAAGATTGTTAGTTTACCAACAATTTAAAAAAACGAACATATAAATGTTGTTGTTGTAAGACATTCTACAAAAAATTTTGGAGTGATGACATTCTTTGGGGCGACTGTCATGAAAACAGCTGATTGAGATTGAGGTATGCACTGCGACCTATGGTCTATTGTGCCCTCCCCTAAGTCACAGCGACTCATCTAGCCCTAGCATAGCCCATCTAGCCTTGACATACAAAGAAAAAAAGTTTAAACTTCAATGTGTAAAGACTCTGGGCGAATTTTTGCTTTATATACCATTGACCTTGTGAAATGTTTATCTACTGTCAAGGAAAATATCCTATTAAATCACAAAAAACAGTTAATTAGCCTGTTGAAATTTAAAATTTTGGGAACCTTTAATATGGAATTTAAATATATGAATAATACTTAAATGAAACCGTTTAAATGTAGAATTACAAATCAATCTACTACAATGATAATTACGTGTTAATAATTCAATAACTTTTTATTGCCACTGACGTCACGTCCGCGGTAGTCATATTTAATCTACAATTTTAAACATTTCAATGAACAATAAAGTGATAAACAATTACTTATGATTCAATTTTAATTTGATTTTTAAGTATTGATAACGATTACTAGGTTAAATTGTAGAAAAAAAAAACAAAGAATCAAGAAAATGGAGTAAGTGTCAAGAAGTTTGAAGTAAAGCCATTTGATTTGAGATGTAAAATTCAACAAAAATGCATTCATAAATTGTAAACAAATAAGAAACAAGTATACTTTAGGACGAAAAACGCTTGTAGTTATAAATAGATGTAGGAAATAAAAACTCGATTATTATACAATTAACAAATAAGCAGAGATTAATGTTTAAATAAGTAAAAGTAAATGTGTAATGAAAAACGGGCGCTGGGGCGTTTTTAGTGCCAGGCCATGCTAATTATGTACAAGTATAACACAAGTAATCAATGGGTGGTTGGTGGTCATTCCAATGGAAGTGTAAAATATTAAAGTTAAATGCCATTAAATGTGTCATGAAAACGAAAATAATTTCATAATAAATAAGTGGGCAGGCAAAGCGGAGTATAGTAATAAGTTATGTACAGAAATATTAAATAAGATGTAGCATTAAGTATTACTAAGTAGTATAACATATACAGCGCAACCTATGTACAAATACAAACATATGTACACTTGTACATGTATTTCTTGTAGTATTGATTGTTATTAATTACCTATTACTCTGCTAAGCTACTATGTTCCTCAACTACTAAAAAATTCACGTATCACTACAAACTAGCCTGCTCTAAAGCTGTATTTAAAGGCCATAATAAAAAGAAACTCGAAAAAACTGCACAGGGCGTATTAAATAAGAAAAGAAACCGTCTCTTAATTGCCTTCCGCAATATGCTTTAATTCATTTCACACTCTTTTTTATATATCGGTAATTGTAAGGTTGAAAAAAAAAATGCTCTAGACACTAATGAAAGCATGAAGCGCGCATATTAAAAGCTCGCTTGCCAAATAGCTGCAGTTTACGTATAAAATATTTATTTTTTTACTGTGCGAAATAAGTCTTGTCGTTTGCTTAATTTACGCCTCTGATATTGGATATATGAACAACAAATATGCTCAAGTTATTTCGGTGCCTTAAACAATAAATATTTATTGCTAACACCTTTTTATATAAACAAATGAAGTGCAGTCATTAAAAGTCAAAGAAGGCTCGCTTTAAAAACAAAATAATTGCACAAAAGATTAATTGGTAATTTGCAAAAAATAATAATAATAATAAATAAAATGTAAGAACATTTAAAAACAAATGTATTTATATATTAATATTAATAATATGACGTTCAAAACGTCCTGTTTAAAAACAAAATACAAATGTTTTTGTTGCATAACAGTTAAATTAGCATTGATTCTATCTTTTGCAGTTATGAAATAATATATCTACGTGAATTGAAAACCGCTATACAAAACCAAAAATATATGCGCTGCCTAATGTCTGATATTTTTCAAAAAATACTTTTGAATTATAATTTATCAGCTGCGCTGTCTGGTGGAATGCCTTTTTAAAGCGTTAGATATATATATGTATAAGTATGAGGCATGCAGAGCTAAGGCTTTCCTTTTATTCAATTTACACTAAAATTTCTATAATTACATAATTTTAGTATCTACACAACAAAGTAAATATAAATGCATAAAAGTTTTAGATATCTTACAATTAAATTGCAATTTACATAAACGAGCAAGATATAATTAATACAAAAGTACTTTATAAGCAAGCTGGCACCACACAGTGAAATGTTTGGAGTGAAGTGTAAGGTGAAATATCTGTATATTAGCTTTAAATCATACAAATTTTATAGGCAATTAATTGAATGAAGTTTTAAATATAATTTTTAACTTTGAAATTGTGTGCATACATACTTGTACATAGTATGTATATTCTCATAAACAATTTTATTTTTTTTACGTCAGTTTAATATTATTTTAAAACTCAATTACAGAGCAAACTATGTTCTACATATTTTAAAACTTCATTTTCCATTTCATTCCGTTTATATATAGTAGCGCATATTAAAGGATTTTTATGAGATTATAGTGTGAGAGTATAGTAAACGAGTGGTTAGATGTGATATTTGGTTCAGATAGTATAGATTGCAGATAATAAGAAGAAAGAAATGAAAATTATCCTATTTGTATTATATGAAACTTACCGGTAGCGCATTCAGAGGTCTCATACGACATAGTTGATTGTACTTCTACTGCATTTTGTTCAGATCTGAAAAGGTGAGAATCGAAATTATTAATAGTTAACAAAAGAAAATAAAAATAAGAAAAAACGTTAACTTTGATTGCACCGAAACTATAATATCCTGCACATGTGCATTTTTTATATAATAAAAGGGTAAATTAATAATAAACACTTTTATTTTGATTTTAAGCGGTCAGCTTGTATGACAGCTATATATTATAATATAGTGATCGGATCTTAAAAATTTATACGGAGGTTATAACGTTGATTTGGACAATAATCTATGCGCAATTTCGTGAAGATATCTTGTCACATAACAAATGGTTCATACAAGAACTTGATTACGATCCTTCAGTTTGCATGGTAGCTACTCCTATATGCTATAGTTGTTTAGACAAATTAGTAGATTCTTGGGAAGAAAAGAACGTGTGCAAAATTTTAGATCGATATCTCAAAAACTGAGAGACTAGTTCGTGTATATACCGACAGACGGATGAACGAACATGGCTAAATCGACTCAGCTAGGGTATCGACTTGCCCTCTGGGTGTTACAAACTTTGTAGTAAACTTAATATACTCGTACCCTATTCAAGGTATAATATTACATATGTAAAAGTTATAGTTTTAAAAGACAAACCTGAAACTAGTAACAAATAATATTTAAATATTTAAAATAAGATAGGAAATATAAGAATATATTTAATTAAATAGTTTTATTTACGAAAGCAAGTTGGTGCGCCTAAATGTAGTAAATTTCATATTTTAGTTGTTTATTTTTTTACCATGTAAGAATATACAATAGGTCGCGGTGCATACCTCGAAACTAATCTAATCTAATCTACCATGTAAGAATAAATGCGAATTAAAATTAAAATATATACATTTATTTACTAAAGATTATTTTTTTTGTATATTCTTCCCATCTGAGAAGCTTGACTTTATACTATTAACCTATGTTGTTGAAAATCAAAAACAAAAAAAGATGTGTTGCCTACTTTTAGGACGCGCACATTTAAACAATTTAAAAGGGAAAAACCAACAAATTAAATGTAAAGACTCTTTCGCTTACAGTAGTTCAACAAAGTATACACTTTTTTTTAAAGAAAATACATATAATATATGGAATTAATGAAATAATTATCCAAAAATTATTTGTATGTATGTATTAAAATAAAATACTGATCACTTCCAACAACCTTACCTCAATATCACATCAGTTATAACTTGTTTTTCTGTATCGGTATATTCGGAACGCCGTCGCCCGATCTTTTTTTCAACATCCGCCTCCACGAATTGTCCCAATGGTCGAACAGGGAATTCATTCGCCTTTGGCTGTGGTGCCACATCCAATTTTAATTCTTTCAACTTTTTCAACATACGTTCGAGTGCCTCAATTACGTAGTCGTCGTTGTAACCGAAATTCTTATGCAATTTCACTTGCAAATATTCAATAATTGAGTCCATATCTTTGAGACGCAACAATTCGTGTTTGTGCAAATATAGTATGGTGACGGCCATCGCAGTGACGACACGTTCACCCTCCAACAGATAAATGTCCCACACGCGCAAAGCTAAACTATATGGTATCTGAAAATAGTAAAGTGGAAGTGTGGAGTATAAAGTAGTAAGCAAGTATTGAATATAAAGATATAAAGCTGTATTTGTACGAAAAGAAGTAACGTAAAGAAAAAGAAAGTAAAACTATATGGTGACCAAGTACTAAATATGGTGACAAGCCAAATTATTTAGACAATGTGATTATTATTTATAATGATGTAATGTTTGTGTTTGATTTTGGGTGTTATTATGTTACTAATGCTCTTATTGACTATAAAATAAACTATGCGTATGTAATTAAGACATAAGCACTAATACTTCTATAAAATCAATAAATGTAGTAGTAAATAATTAAATAAAAGCAAATATAGTATTTATGAAAGTCTTTACAAATAAATAATTTTTAGAAGGAACTTGATTTTCATCGTTCAATTTGTATGGCAGCTATTTGCAGTAGTGGATCGATCTGAACAATTTATTCGGAGATTATAGCGGTGCCTTGGAAAATAATCTGTTTCATATTTCTTGAGGATATCTTGTCAAATAAAAAAGTTTCATTCAAGAACTTTATTTTAATCGTTCAGTTTGTATAGCAGTTATATGCTATAGTGGTTCGACATCGTCGGCTTCGACAAAAGAGCAGCTTCTTGGAGAGCAAAAAAACGTGTGCTAAATTTCAGATCAAAATTTAAATAACTGGGAGACTAGTTCGCGTATATACAGACAGACGTTCGATTGGTAAATCGACTCAGCCCATCACGCTGATCATTTATATAGGTATATATATAATATATAATACGGTCCCCGACGTTTTCTTCTGGGTTTTACAAACTTCATGGCAAACTTAATATAAAAATAATAAAGCAAGATAAATGTTTAAAAAGAAATTATATAAATTAAAATCGAAGAAAAATTTTATTACGAGTACTTAAAAATTAAAAGTCATTAATTGTTGTAATACATTAAAAAATAATAGATAATTATCTTATTGCTCATATTTTCAACAATTTTTATATATTAAAATTAATTTTATAATACATACCCGCTCCACGAAGATCACAAAGAACCATTTAATCGAGTATAGAATAGCATCGACATTGTGTTTCATGAAATGTTGGTGCAATTTACGCATCATCTTCGTCAGTATCCGATCGTGGTGTTCAAGGAAGCGCGTCAGTTTGGGGAAGCCCTCTATGAACAGGCCGTGCATGGCATATTTACGATCTATAATTAATTGATTCAACGCCCAAAATGCCTCTTCCTCCTGCATAAATAGCAATAACACACCGGCCAGACATGCCATACCCTGACAATAACCCAATTCTGGATTATATATACTATACGCATTTAGCACATTGAAGAGGGAGCACTGTTTAACGCTATACCGTTGACGGTAGGCGACATTATCACGAAATTGTCGATTTACATCCGAATCGATTTGACGCACCTCGGTGGAGTATTTACGCGCCAATGCCAACATAGACGCATACTTATCTGGGTTAGCGGCAATCAATTCGTCAACATTCAGCAATTTTTTCCACGCTGGCCAACGCATACGATCTGGTATACCTTTGAAGACACGTCGTCGCACTTTCTCATTATTGGGATTCCAATTGGCAAGCATTTTCATCCATTTCTTGTCGCGCTCCAATTCGATTTTGGTACGCTGCAGCTCCTGTGAGTCGCGGGTGTCGGGCAGGCGGGAATCGTGCATGAAGCCATATCTGTGCGAGTAAAGCAAAAAATACAGTCACTGTGAGAAAATATATAGCCACAAACGTATGCGTGTCTGTATGCTTGTGGAAATGGATTTACTTTATAATAAGAAAACTTGTAAATGTTGCAAAAGTAACAGGTATTTATTTACCGGTATGTATGATTCTATGTATGCGCTGTTGTGCTATGTTTATGCTTAAAGGGTTCATTGTAAGAAAGTGTGGAATGTGGCACGGAAGCAAGATCGCCGTAGTGGGAAACGAAAGAAGTGCACGACAGTGAAACAAGCGTTTTGCATTAATTTGCAAAAAATAAAAAATAATGCGCAAGTAGACTTGTTACTCGTACTAGCAGTATAAGTTGTGTAATGATGTGGGTGAGCAGGCGTAATTTTTCTTTATTATTTTCCATTTGAAATTGCCTCAAGTGGTTTCGACTGTAACTTGAGGGAAAGGGTATAAGAACCAGCATATTCGCACAGGCAAAACATTGGCAAATTGCCCGGAAATGTCTGCGGTGGCCAACTTATAATAACAATAGGAAATTATTGCTCTCTAGCAGCACTAAGTAGAGACAAAAGTAAAAAGTTAAAAATGTGCGAATTGGTACTTGGAATATGTTGTAATTCGCTTTTGAGTTCCACAATACTAAATATGTATGGTTGGATATGTTTGTATGTAAAAACTAATTTTTATTAATATTTTCTTTTTTTCAAATTTGTGTTGCATTTACAATTAAGAACGTGCCGGGTGAATGAATTTTATTTTGATTTATTAATGCATTTTCAATTACACTCCACCAACTGCTCACGTGATAGTGCTTTTAAAGCGGCACTCACCGACACCTCTACACATTGTTGTGTACATAATTTGTATTCCTTTCGAAATGGAGGTCGAGTACTGTCTTTCACCCAGTTTTCAATGGGCAAAAAGGTCATTTCCTAAGTGAAGTATAATTATGCATGTATGCATGTGTCAGATTCTTTTTAGACTAAAACCAAAAAAAAATTGCTCAATTCATAAGTAAATGAAAAATATCGACAAAAATGGAAATGTGCGAATTTCTAAAGCACCCGTCATGAATCATACATTCGAATATATGTACATACATATACAAATACAAACATATTTAATTTAAGAGGACATGCTTTTTCTCAGTGGCGTACTAATAGTATTTGTAAGCTGAGGCATTTTTCGACATTTATTTCGCATATACAAGTATAAAATTATTCAACAAGGCAAACCAATCAGAAATTTTAACCTTTTTTGTTTCTATAGAATTGTATTCACTACTTATGGTATTTTTAGAAATGTTTGTACATACACATGCATTTTTTAAATGCTACATTTACCGCAGACTGCTGGATTTCTATAAATGCATAATATACCATATGTATATATGTGAAAATGATGTTAATAGAAAGCACTTCAAAAAACGAAATTTTTTAATTGAAAACGCAGTATTAAAATTTCCTAACTTTAATTTCAATCATGAATACTGCAGGGTAGAAACCAAATCAATTATCTGTCATTTGTAATATAATATTTGAAAATATACGATTTTAGCAAATTTTACATTTCTTAGAAGATACTCGTGTAAATACAAAGTATACCTATATTAAAATTTACACTGTAGTGTTGCCGATATAAAATTTTTTACAAAAAATAAATTCTGGCCGCTGATATAGTGCAAATAGTTGGCCATGTCGCGGAAGCCATCACATTTTTAATTGCTTATTATTATTGAACAGGAAATTTTTGTTGGCGAGCGATAGTTTTTAATATGATACTACAAAATACATTTTCTAATAGCAAATATGTACACATATTTTAAGTTTAAAACTATAAGTGGCACTCAAATATCTTGTTTTTGTTTCAATAGCCAAATCATAACATACTATTTAAACTTCAAATTTACATAATAATGCACAAAATACCTACATTCTAGTGTATACCATATTTGATTGATAATTAATTGTTCTTTTACATATACTCACTTATCTGTAATATGGTAGAGCTCAAATGTGGGATTCTCCCAAGGGTCGACCACATTCGTAGGATCCAAACCCAAAGAGTAACGATTGAAAATTGCTTCACGTTCATCTGCTGCACGTTGTAGTAACGCCTCTTGTTCATCAAGCGCTGCTACGCTTTTGTTACTTGTATTATTGGTCATAAGCGGTACATTTGCTGCATCACCTCCAGCTGTCGCTGTTAGAACTGTTGTATCGCTACTTGTTGTTGCTGTTATGTGCGTAGTTGTTGTATGATTCGTAGCTACGGGTGTGGAGGCAGGCAAGTTATTTGTATTATTCGCATTGCTGTTACTTGTAATTGTAATATTGTTGATGTTGGCGCTGTTATTGTGATTGTGACTATTGCTGTTACTGCTGATGATAGTGACACTATTGGTGTACACAGTTGAATTCATGGTTGCAAATTTTGTCTTTAATTCTTGTATATTTTACTAAACAAGAAGCGATTGTGCGGGCGCTTAGCGATAGCCTGTGGCACTGAACTCTGAAGGCTGTTATAAGTTAAGTTGTACACTTTGGAATGACTGATTGTTGATGTAGTATCGGCTTCACTTTATTATTTTTATTACAAAAATAATATATCTCTGCATATAATGCAAGAGCACGATATATTAATATTTGCAAATAATGATTTAAATGCATCTGATGTTGTTCTGGTTTTTTGGTAGATTTTGGCCATTGATGTCATTGTTCAGCTTAAGCCCCAGCTCATACTTTCTGAGGAAATTGGATAATAGTATCGCCTGTAATTGTTTTTACATTATATATTTTATTTTTAAGCCATAGGACTTTACTGATATCAAGATGAAACAAATGACGCCCCCGCTTTAACTTTAATAACAGCCACTCCGCTCTTTTATCAGATCAGTTTAAGCTTTAAGAAAGCTACTGTAACTATTTAACGAATTTTCATATATTCGATTAAGTTTTGCCTCTGTTATAAATAATACTCAGAAAGCAAACTTTTTAATTTTAAATATTTATTTTCTTATCGCTTTAACTTCCTTTACATCTTTTAATTATGCTATTTTATTCGTGAACAATACAAGCTCACACACAAAAGCACATACGCACACACTCTTGGCCGTCATCAAAATTTCTCCTATTTTGCTAACAGTGCAGTAATTCCTCCAAAAAAAAACTATCTTTCGCACTTATATTCACATCGGTCACACATTTAATATAATTAATCCAATATTTCCATATATTTTGCTCATTCTATCATATATATTTAATAATATTTACACAAAATTTTCTACGAATCTTAATTTTTTATACTTTCCCCAGCGCAACACAATGCTAAAAACCATTCGGAATTAGAGAATTATTTGACAGCACTGACAGTTAATACGAATGACAGTAGAAAGTTCAATAAGAAGATAAAAGGGAAAACAACGACGAGTAGCGTAAAATCAGAGAACGTATATAATCTACATTCTCTGGTAAAATATTTTGTAACAGAGAATGTAGATTATTATATATTTTACATTCTCTGTTTGTAATATCGGCGCAAATTCTTATGCCTTTAAAAAATTCTTATGCTCTCTTAATTTTAGAAAAATGTTTCTTGATGTTACAAAGAAAGGGTATAACGTAATGAAATATAATTTATGAAAATTTTGCACACATAAAACTTTTCCTAAATAAATTTGTTATCTGTAAAATATTTAAATCAGGCTACCTTGTTTTTACCTTTTTATATACTATGGGCAACTTTTGAGTATCAGCCGGCAAAAACTTATTGGCGCATATTAACAATCCAAATAATAAACAACTTAGAATGAAGTAAAATTAAAAATAATTATTGTGTTTTTAAGTTTTTATAATTAACATTCTTTTAGATTAAGTGTTGATGGCTTGCTGGTGTATTTTCCGTATGAATACATCTACCCAGAACAGTATGCATACATGCTCGAGTTGAAACGCACATTGGATGCGAAAGGACATTGCCTGCTGGAGATGCCTTCGGGTACAGGCAAAACAGCCACACTATTGTCCCTAATTGTAGCATATATGGTAGAGCATCCAGATGTTATACGCAAATTAATTTATTGTTCGCGTACCGTACCGGAGATTGAAAAGGTCATCGCCGAGTTGCAAAATTTGATGTCGTACTACCAAAAAAATGCGCCTGAGCCACCTGCTTTACTTGGTCTAGTGCTAAGTTCACGTAAAAATATGTGCGTACACCCAGAAGTAAGTAAAGAGCGTGAGGGCAAAGCGGTCGATGGAAAATGTTATGGTCTGACGGCCAGTTACATTCGAGAACATCACGAGGTAGATCCTGAAAATACGCCAATATGTGAGTGTGAATTATAAAACCACCTATAGAATAATATAAATAACTATATACATTAGGCCAATACTATGAAGGTTTTACTTTGGAAGGAAAAGAGAGCATGATGCCACCTGGTGTATATAGTATTGATGACCTCAAAGAATACGGACGCATGCGGAATTGGTGCCCCTACTTTTTGGCACGTTTTGCTGTAAAACATGCACAGATTGTTGTTTACAGTTATCACTATTTGTTGGATCCTAAAATTGCTGAAGTTGTTTCCAAAGAGATTACCAAACAGTGTTGCGTGGTTTTTGATGAGGCACATAATATTGATAATGTGTGCATCGATTCGATGAGTGTTAAAATCAATCGACGTATTGTAGAACGTAGCACGAATGCATTAAACAATCTACAAAAACTGGTACAAGAGTAAGTACATATTTGGAGACATATACTAAATCATTACATTACACAACGCTTATGTTTTAGTATGCGTGATGATGACGCCAATAGACTCAATGATGAGTACCAGCGTATGGTACAAGGATTGAAGGATGCTCATGTGCAACGTGAAACTGATATGGTGATGGCCAATCCCGTATTACCTGCAGATGTATTAAAAGGTTTGTTTCAAATACTGTATATTGTATAAAAAAATTATTATATTTCGTCACGTTTAAATTATAGAGGTTGTGCCCGGTAATATACGTAATGCGGATCATTTTCTCAGTTTTCTTCGACGTTTTGTAGAATATGTTAAAACACGTCTACGCGTACATCATGTTGTGCAGGAATCACCTGCCGGTTTCCTTAAAGATGTGGCATCTAAAATTTGCATAGAACGTAAACCATTGCGATTTTGTGCCGAGCGTCTGGCTAGCTTGTTGCGAACACTAGAAATTACCGATATGACAGAGTATGGAGCGCTGACGTTGGTAATGAAATAAAAACTAACTAATAAATACTCGTTCATTTACAATTATGTTACAGATTACACATTTCGCTACTTTAGTATCCACCTACACTAAGGGTTTCACAATCATTGTTGAACCTTTTGACGATAAAACACCCACCGTCATCAATCCTATACTACATTTCAGTTGTTTGGACTCTTCTATAGCTATGGCGCCAGTTTTTAAACGCTTTCAGACAGTAGTAATCACATCAGGCACACTTTCACCTATGGATATGTATCCAAAAATTTTGGATTTCGATCCTGTTATAATGAGTTCCTTTACAATGACGCTGGCACGTCCTTGCTTACTGCCCATGGTAAAATATTTACAGTTTATATAATATTAAACAAATTTTTATTGAATGTTATTGCTTGTATTTATAGATCGTGTCCAAAGGCAATGACCAAGTGGCGATATCTTCCAAATTCGAGACGCGTGAGGATACAGCAGTTATAAGAAATTATGGGCAATTGCTCGTAGAGACAGCGAAGACAGTGCCTGATGGTATTGTCTGCTTTTTCACTTCCTATCTTTATCTCGAGTCTGTGGTTGCATCGTGGTATGATCAGGGTATTGTGGACACCTTACTGCGCTATAAGCTGTTATTTATTGAAACGCAGGATAATGCGGAGACTAGCTATGCGCTAATGAACTATGTCAAGGTAAGTTGGAAGTTAAAAGAATGCTACATAAGAATTTATGAAATCCATCCAATCTTTTGTACATCAATAGAGGTCAGAGAAATGTGGTCATAATATATCCCAGTAGTTTTTGATCTCCCCAATTCTCCAGATCGAGCGCTTCGACCTCCGTTTAATTTTTTTTTTAGACTTTTTAATAAGTATAGTTCTGATGGAGAAGATTGTCTTTCTTTCAAATTAAGCCGAGTATAACACTTAACAACAATACAAAATTATAATGTTTTTTTTTTCAAATCTATTTATGGTCAAGCAACATAGCAATCCATTTAAAAATTTCTGAATATAATTTATTTGTAACGGTACCTAAATTTCAAGTTTGTTTCTGCAGTGAGTTTAGCAACTTTATGTTTCGGAATAGTACTGTTTTAAATACTGTTTTTTGAATTAGTTTAGAGTCTTATAGTCGACGGACAATGGACAGACTTAACCAGATCAGGGTCGGCTGTCACGGAACAGTTACGGATTTTTATCTTTCAAAGAATTTTCTAATTGGCAGAATTCCTCAAACTATCTAGCGAATGTTTTCTGCTATTTTAATAATAATCATAAAACTCGGTTTTATATCCAGTCAAGTACTGTCACCTCAAGCGTTATCAAACACGATTTGGTCCATTTTTATAAACATTGATATCCGTCTATATCTAACTGAATCCATCTATACTGTTATAAACAATTGTCAGCTGAATAAAACTATAATACCCCTGTGCATGTTGCATTGCACTCGGGTATAAAATCATATACACTCACATTACTCACATGCATTTTCTTCAACCGAAGGCCTGTGATTGCGGCCGAGGCGCCGTATTGCTTGCCGTTGCGCGTGGCAAAGTCTCCGAGGGCGTTGATTTCGATCACCATTACGGACGCGCCGTACTCATGTTTGGCATACCCTATGTCTACACACAATCACGCATACTGAAGGCACGCCTCGACTATCTGCGCGATCAATTTCAGATACGTGAAAATGATTTTCTCACTTTTGATGCCATGCGCCATGCGGCGCAGTGTGTGGGACGCGCTTTGCGTGGCAAAACCGACTATGGTATTATGATATTCGCCGATAAACGTTTCTCACGTCAAGATAAACGCAGTCGTTTGCCCAAATGGATACAGGAGCGCTTAGTTGATAGTTTTTGTAATTTGAGCACTGAGGAGGCCATGCAATTGGCGCGCCGTTGGTTGCGGCGCATGGCGCAACCGTTCACGCGTGAAGATCAACTGGGCATATCATTGCTAACTTTGGAGCAATTGGAGAACGCCGAGAAGGAGAAACTGGAGCGGCAGGCGCAAGGCAAAGAGGGTGTGGGCGGAGAGGTGATGGAGCTGTAGGCGCGAATAAGAAACAGTGAAATAAAATAAATTTAAAAATAATAAAGTTTTTCTAACTTCAATTACATGTTACCTCTGTGTAAAGAATTTGCTCAAAGCGGTTAGTTTGGTTATGCAGTTCAGTTTTCATTCACCGTATTGTTACGTGGCATTTAATGTGTAATTCAACAAAAAAAAAGTGTAATAAACCACATTTGAATATTTAATAAAAAATTACAAACATTAACCGCTTTCAGACGACTTGCAAATTATCATAAAAACTGGACCAGTCTGCTGCTGAGTTGCAACTGACTTCCGGTTAGCAGCGTCAAATAACTGGTTGCTTATTTTTAGGGTCTTTCGTGTTCTTTTTTTAGTTGTGTGCATTTATTTGTTTTATTATTTTTTACTTTTTGATTTGCAATTTCATATTTTTTTTTGTTGTTTTGTATTCAACTTATTGCTCACGCTGGTTTGCAGCGCTGTTCCGAAAACAAATTACAAACGGCAAATTAAGCGCAGGCAAAAAGTCTTAATGGCATTGAACGTTAAATACAGCCCCAATAATTTTACCATTCCTTCCGTTCGGAGTAATTATAAATTTGAAATTTTTTGCTACAGAATATTTAGCCATTGACTTAGATAAAAAGTTCCTTTCCAATTTATTTGCATTAAAAAAAAAATAAAGTTGTATAATTTTTATTTTATGTTAACAGTTTTTAAGCTTATTGGGTAAAAATAAAGCGTTGAAATATTTTGGTTGCTCAGAATAGTACTTTATTTGTAACTAGATTTCTGCATTTAGAATAATAAATCTTGGAAATCAAAAATTTTTTTCAAAAAGCTTTGCACTAAACTTATTAACAAAATTTTAGGTGCTATGTTAGCCAAGAGCAGGGTTGCAAGTATTGCATTAAAAAGACAATTTCATTACCATTAAATGTATTTCTTTTTTTTATAATCTCGAAAATCTTTATTAAAAACAATTTTAAAATTTCGAATCCCAAATACCCGGTAGAAAATTGAAATAAAATTTAATCCCAAAAATAAATTTTAATCATAAATACCGGATCAAAAAAAAAAAGTTTAGTCCCAAGTTGATAATTAAAAATAAAACAAATTGTGTTTTTGAATT